TAAAAAAATCTGTGAAATTACGGACTGAAAAAGGCAACTTTTACTTTGTTCCTATGACAATAATATCACGACAACTAGCATAGTTTCTGTGTCTGACACCAAAGCAATATTTACTGCAATGTTATATTACCGCTGTAGTAGAACAACTCTGCTTGTCAAGAGCGATGGAAATTAAATCAACAATGCTTGATTCACATATGAACAATGACATGTCTACTTTGCACTTAAGATTTAAAATCCATTTTATTATGCCACACATATGACACGGTCTAAAGTCTTTCTCTTAATTGGTCCAGCGTGCTGTTATAGTATAATAAGACAAGCATGGTAACTCCATACAAAGACAGCAGCGCGACTTGGATGTGGGCGCGCCCGCTGCTTGTCGTGTACGGAAGCACACATTTGTATAATCTCACGATGCACTCACGATGCATAGGCGCACAGCGGGCGTGCCCACATACAAACCGCATTGCTACGTTTGTATGAAGTTACCGCGATTGTCTTATTATACTTCGGCGCTGTCGACTGTCTAAGCAAAATCAGAGTTATAGTATTTTTTTAAATAATTTCTGTTAGTATTGTAATAATGTTAGTCATATACGAGTACATAATAAGGGTGAATACCAGACGCGCAATACGAAACTTTCACTTCTGACAAAGATTACTTAATATTATCTCCAAGGAGAATTTTGTTATATATATTTTGATATAATTACCTGCAAAATTTGCAATAGGGTATCTGACCGATTTTTTTTTATGTTATGTCAATTAATTGAACATGGCCAAAAATTATTTCATGTTTTGATCCATATATATTTTAAAGTACTTATCAAGTTCGCAAAGGTTTTGGCACCGGCCTGTCAAACACCTGTCAGAATTACATTCCGGTTCTATAAATATGACCTGAGATCAGAAGAATTATGACGAAGCGTGACAAAGTCAAGTGCCGTCTAAAACTTGGACCCTTTGCAGAGAATCTCGACGCTTACTTTTGTAATTACGAAACCTCTGCAATAGAATGTGTAGGGATGCTAAACGTAGCTACATTCTTTCTTCTATTCAAGATCTCTCCCAGGCTCAGGTATGGAAATTTCTGCACTCGATGCCACAACAACGTGGATCTCAATTCCTTGAACCCCCATTTTTCTACTCCGCCAGTCATCCTTAACCGTCTTACTAAACCTTATACTCTTATTTTTCTTTCTAACCTTATCACACCTTATTGTCCCCCTTTCACTTTTAAGATCCTCTCAGAGGGTCTTGTAAAGAAAATTTTTGCCGTGGGGCGACGGCTTAAGAATACATTGTCGCCTCCCCATACATGCCCGTGGGGGTCGTAAGAGGCGACCGAGGGCGTCACAAGTGTCCATCTGCTTAGCGTTGTGGTAGGCTTTGTGCCGACTGGATAGCGACCACAGTACACACGGCGGAAAACCCTCCACAGTGAAACGCTTTTGCGAATCGCGTTCAGGGATCAGTGCACGTGGAGTTTTCGGCGCGGTATCTGGGAGGACTGAGGCGGATATTCGCCATGTCACTTGTTGAGGGATATCTAGTTGACCTGCCGGCCAGGGAGACCCGTAGAAACGGTTGTCCGCTGGCCGCCCGCGGTACAGTACAGGGGCCCAATAGGGACTAACTACCCCTAGAGGCTGCCCCACCATGCCGCGCATAATCTTAGGGTAGGTCGTCGTGCCGGTTAGTGACCGGAATTTGGGGTCCCGGCGGCATATCCCGGGGGGGTACGGGGGCCCTTCCGTTCGGCGGGTCAGCCGGCTATCCTTCAAAAGATCAACGGCATGTATTGCAGTTCCCCTCGTTTTTCTTCTTCGGTGCAGTGCCGAAGGCTTCATCTCTTCACACTACCGTCCTTCTTACCCACCATGACAGCGCAACATAAGAATTCAGATCGTTCAGCTATGCCTAATCCCCCCACCGCGTTTATTATTGAGTTCGCTAACATCCGCGGACTCCACTCCAACCTCAAAGCTGTCCACCATCACCTCGAGACAGCCCGGCCTGTCCTGCTTTTCCTGACGGAGACGCAGATTCGCCGTCCGAATGATATGAGTTACTTGAACTACCCCGGCTACTCGCTTGAGGAAAACTTTCAGGCCAAAGCCGGGGTATGTGTATATATTCGTTCGGATGTGTGCTGTCGCCGTCTGCGCTGCCTGGAGGACCCCTCCTTTTCCACTATGTGGGTGCTCGTAGAATCTAGTTATTCAGCTAGAGTCTTCGCGTGCTTATATAGATCCCACAGCGGGGATGCGGAGACAACTAGGCTCTTTGACCAACTGAGCCAGGCGACTCTTGACGCGCAGGCGCAGTTCCCATCTGCGGAGATGGTCGTGTTGGGGGGACTTTAATGCTCACCATGAATCATGGTTAAGTTCCCTCAAGACTGACCATGCAGGAAGAACTGCCCACGCTTTCGCTCTCACGCATGACTTGACCCAACTGGTAACCCAGCCCACCCGGGTTCCAGATATATCGGATCATGCACCCTCTTTGCTTGACCTTCTGCTCGCGAGTCACCCTACCTACTATACAGTATCAGACAGCGCCCCCCTGGGAAGTTCTGATCACTGTTTGGTTGGGTGTAAGGTTTCCCAAATGCCTCCAACTAAGCTGAAGGAGGTCACTCGTCGCATTTGGCACTACTCGTCGGCGGATTGGGATGGTATGCGCGACTACTTTGCGTCCATCCCTTGGTTGCAGCACTGCTTTGCATGAAAGGATGCCTCAGCAGCTGCCGATGCTGTTGTCGATGAGATTGGAACGGCTATGAATTACTACATACCGTCTTCCAGTGTCATCGCCAATCGCAGAGGACGCCCTTGGTTCAATCGCGAATGCATGGACGCTGTTAGTGAGAAACAGGCTGCATATCGTGGTTGGATCAAGGGTCGTGTAACAAAGGATCCCAACCTTGCGTCCCTTAACCCAGCCTATAACAAAGCAACCAAGTCTTGCAGGAGGGCTTACATAAGAGCGGATGCCCAGCGCGTTTCACGGATTGGCCAGAAGCTGGTAGCCCATCCCACCGGTAGCCGTGCCTACTGGAGCCTGGCCAAAGCCGTGCAGTCCAATTTTTGTCGTTCGTCGCTGCCGCCTTTGAGGTATCCCAATGGATTTTTGGCCTATGGCCCCGAAGACAAAGCCAATTTATTGGCCGACCTTTTTGGGACTAACTCGCGCATTCACGACCAAGATGCGCAACCGCCGTCAATTCCCCACTGCGGAGTCACAATGCCTGATATAGTTATCAGGCAATGTGATGTCCGCAAGGAACTGCAGACTCTTGACGTGCGGAAAGCCTATGGTCCAGATGGGATACCTCCTATCGTCCTTAAAACATTCATTGCTATGCAGATGATAGCACAGTGCACGGTTGCTATTATAAGCAACCGTCAAGCAGCCGGGAGGACCCTGAGAGAAACCGGGAAAAACTTGTCGCTGAGCTCAACCATGTTTTGGAACATATATCGTCGTGGGGCTCCCGAAACTTGGTTGAGTTCAACGCCAAGAAAACCCAGGTATGCGCGTTCAGTTCCA